ACTCCCTTTATTCGATTTTCAACCCAATTCCCAGTTTATTAGGACTTTCATCTTTTCTAATGTAACGAGCTTATTCCCAGGTTATACGCAAATGCTGGAATCAAAAGATTTCCACACTTGTACGTAGGTTCATGTCATGCATCTGTTTCCCACATGAAATATAGTACGTATTAACAGTAATCATGCAGTGCAGTGGCGGATACAAGTAGCTCTAGGGTGTCCCGGGACACCCCTTAAAATTTGTGAGTACGATTATTCAACCCCCGATAGTAGTTCGCATATAGGTAAAAATAATATTTAAGTGGTAGCGGGACACTTCTAAAATTTGGAAAAAACGATTATAATCTCTCAATAGTAGTTTGTGTATGGGTAAATATAAATATTTAAGTGGTTGCCTATGTTATTTGCACTTGGGTCGCTGCTACTATTAGTAAACATATTTTTCATTAGACTATAACTCATTTGTTCTTGTATTTCAAATCCAAATATAATAGTAAAAAGCTATTTTTTATCCCTATTATTTTCAAAAGCTAACGATTAAACCCAATTACGGGCTCCCCTAGTCTAGTAGGATATATCGAGAGAGATTTATAGAGCATTGTTAGACACCAATTGTATTTTACAATTTTTCCAAAATACGAAACACATCATGTGCTTTGTTGTACTTTGGACAAGTAGGATATTTTCTTATTTAATTTTTAATTTAACTTAATTTTTAGAAGAGGAGTAGAGGACACCCTATATAAAGTTCCTGGATCCGCCACTGATGATGTGCATAGCATTTTACCGTCAATCATCTGATCATTAAGGTTGAGATAAAATGACCCAGATACAAGATCTATCGAGTTCATTGTCTCAATCTCACTATTATTATATTATGGAGAATATCATCTGAGATATCGGGTTAACAACAATAAATATGTATTAAATCACATATGAGACGATAATTATATAGTAATGATGATTCAGCTTACATTTTTTTTTTCTCTTGTGTGAAGTAAATATATATTTTTCAATAATTTTAAAAATAAAAAAAAAATTATAATTGATTATTATTATACTATGCTCAAAAAAGGATTTCAATATATATTTACTTTTATCCTGCGTGTTGCCGCGTACTTGCTGCTGTTCGTCGAAACTTAAAAGTGATGGTGCTGACAGCAAACAGAATCTAATTTGTTGGCTTCTGATTATATACATATACATTTTCATTGCCCATTTTTCATACTCCTGTCGAGAGAGTGAGGCAATTGAGATGAGTCGAGTTGAGGAAACTGTAAAGTGAAAATAAAAAGGAGAAGATGCAAATCCAAGAGAATAGACTGTGATGATATATACTTGCAGGCAAAAGTCATTCTTTCTACTCAAAGAATCTTCTCTCTCCCTTTACTTACGGGGCCGCATTGGCCAATGGCCGCTTACTCTTCACGGCTCTCAAAAGCCACAGAGCTTGATTATGGCTTGCCACAAACAATCCCTTTGCCTGGCGAAACCAACACAAGGGACTAGAAATGATAAATTCAACTAAATTAAATTTGGTCTTGATAGAAGGGAATTAGTTCACACCTTTGTAACTTTCTAATGTTTTTTTCAACACACACTATACACTTCAATATAAGTTTATTGTACATTTCATCATTTTATTTAAATAACTCGTTCGTTAATTATTTTTATATATAATTATTATTTATTTAATTTTTGATGAAATTAATATTTTTTTTAACAAAAGATTATCGTATTGATTGATAGAAAGATCAGTGATTGCACCCTGGAACCAATCCAGGTACAAAAAAAAATCAAATATATGACACGAGGTCGAAGGTAAAGAAAGGGTCTTTCGAGCCACAAGATGGGTTACCCTATTGCCAATTCAACCTACAAATAGAACATGAAAACCACTATCCAGAGCCAACATACTCATAATTTCCTCAAGAATAACACCAACATGACTATCATGCGCATCCTTGAAATTAATCTTATCAATAAGCACCTTAATTATCATCCCCTTCATATCGAATCTGGGCGACCCCATGGTTCTGACATTACTTAATAGCTTCGAGGATGACATGATCCTCCAAAAACAACCCTCTTCCTAAGACAATAGAGCCTCCTTCATCCTTCAGGATCATCACGCCCACTGAATGTGAACCAACACATACCGCACCATCTCACATACAGATAAGTGAGGACGAACCTCCCACATCCGAACTCTGTCGCAAAGGAAGCTGATTCAGGGTCATCCTATCTTCTGGCAAGTAAACACATTCATGAGGTTGCTGATGGTATTGGCGCATCAGATTAGATCTAAAATTGTTTTCCTTCAAACACAACCCAACTTCTATATTTCCATATACGTCATAAGACCGCAACCAGGACCATAATTTGAGCCGGCTGGGTCATCCGAAACCAGGGGCGGAGCTACAGCCTGGCTCGGGGGGGTCGGCTGGGTCATCCAAAACCAGGGGCGGAGCTACAGCCTGGCTCGGGGGGGCCCCGCCCCCCCCCCCCCCCCCCCAGAATCTCGAAAGTTCCGTGTAAATCCCACGAGCTTCCTGAAATTTTCGTATTAACTAAAGCTAAGTGGTAATATAATTTAGTGAGCAATATAGTGACAAGAAATGTGTAGTAGTCCAGTGGATGGGAATGCTTAAATTACCCCATGTCAGCGGTTCAAAACTAACCTTGGTAGTTTTGGTTTATTTTTTTTCACTTTTAGTTGAAAAATGACTTAAAAGTAGTCATTCAATAACCTAATATTTTGTTTTCCTCAAATTCTTTAATTTAAAACTTGATGGATTAACTTTTCAATTTCAATTTTTTTTACGATAAATTTTGTTTTTCTCTAATATAAAATATGATGGATATACAATATTAAAACACATTATTAATTTTTTTTCTTTTCTAATCTATATTGAACCTGCCATGGTAAAAAAATTTAGTTTAAATTTTATTTTGAATGATTTGAATCATGTTTAAAAAGTATAGTTATCATAATATTTTGAATTTTTTTATTTTTTCATTAATTTTAACGTCTTTTTGCTGTGTAGAGTATGAAACTCCGCCCCCCCTCCCCCCCCCCCCCCCCGAACACCAAATCCTAGCTCCGCCCCGAAACAAGCATTTTTAGAAAAAGAGGGAAGGTATGAGGAGGCAAACCTTGTTATTTTATATATAATAATTAATTAAATAAATATTTTTTATGAAATTAATAATGAATTAAGATGATACAATAATTAATTCATCCAATTCTAAACCAACCTATACCGTCTCTTCTATACAACTAGATAATCTTTTGTTTATCTAATGGCATACACAATATTTAAGCCTGGCCAAAAAGCATAATTATTCATTCACTCCTAAATGACAATGCAGTTTGCCATTTCGCCCACCCTAGATACTTTGCCGTGTGTCTGTGACAGTGACAATTTTGAACCCGTCCCGTCGGGTATTATCCGATTTGATCCGTAGTTTTTGACTATTTTTGGGAAGGAAAATGGTTCCCGTCTTTCCTGCTTTTCCATTTAAAAAGCTGTTAAATGCGTAGATTTTTTTTTTTTTTTTTTGGTTCCGCAGATATAGTTTATTTAGTAATTCAATAGGTTTGTGTAATAAAAAAAATACGAAAAAATGCTTGGCTACCCAAAATTTTTTGACTAGGCCAGGCAGTAATCAATAAATTAATTGAAACCTGTCAAACACATCATTTTAAATTTAAGAAAATTTGATAAGGAAACTAAAACGAAGTGAAAATGCTGAAGATGTAATGAGAATAATACAGTTTAAACAAAAACAGAGAACCATAGAAAAAGAGATGAAAATGATCATATTATTAGACTATTAGTAGTAGCAATGGAAATGGTGCAGCGGAATTACTGGGCAAATCTCCTTTGGCAGAACAGTCAGTACGTACTTTACAATGATAGGAGTGCAGTGCATGGGATTAATTACCATTTGAACTAATTAATCCTCCCTGCAAAAGAAGGCTGAGTGGCTCTCCCTTAGTCCCTTTATATATATGAACTCAGTAAAAATGCCCAAAGCATATCCCTTGGACATGCGAGCAACTATACCCTCCATAGCTGCTAGTTTCGACAAAGTACATGGATCAAAAGCATTTCCACTTTATTTTTCTCTCCAACCAGAAAATCTTTTTCTTGCTATATATGATTCCTTATTTTGTTCCACGTCATGCATTTATGTAGGTGTTGTTTGGTTTTGGTGATACTTAAATCAATGCATGCATTGTAATATACAATATATTGTTTGGTTTTGGTGATAGTGCTTTTAGTATTCAACATGTTATGTTATTTATTGTGAGAAATATCACTTTTGTCTTTGCTTTTATGAGAACATGTATATATAACTAGGGGTATACTTGGAACAAAAAAGAAATCCAACAATCTTTTCAAAACTATCTCAACAACCTCAAGTTTTAGTATAGATAGTACTATCACTCATTTTGAGTGATAGTTTCCATCACTTCAAGCAAACAATGCATGTATTGTATATGCAAAAAATAAAATAAAAAACAATACATTGTAACTATCACAACCAAACAATCACCAAAACCACACGACCCCGTAGATACAACATAGTCAGCCAAAAATTTCAGCTAGTGGGTAGTAGGTATTGTATAAACACAGAAGAATACAGGAACCGACATTGATTAATTTTCAGACACTTGATGTGGCACAATGAATCTGATCTACTATGGTACGTCTAATTTGTCACAATACAACATAATTTTGTCTCTATTGTGACTGTTACAACTCTTGTCATAATATGTCGAGCAATAATACAAAGGATGTCAGTCGGCACTAGTCAAAAAAAAAAATGTTATGACAATCGTATTATCATAGGAACCCAAAAAATTTATCACGGTATAAGGGGGCTTTGTCGCAAGAACTCGGATTGTAGATTGTTTCATTGTCGCGCTGTTTATAATACTATATATATTATTATACAAATTGATTACCGGTTAAACCAAGCATTGATAAGCACACTGGTGTGGTGTGTATGGCTCTGCAGCAGTATAATATACAATGCAAAAGACCTAATGGAGACTCCTAATTTATACTTGATTTCCAGTAGGTGATGTAAATGCGCCCAGCCATCGTTGATTAGACAGACAATCAGTGCCAGAAGCCAAACCCCAGTTGCTTCCGGCGTAAATCTATGGAACTAAACCTCCAGAAAACCAGCTCCACAATTCTTCTCTTTTGACTGGAAAAAATACCGGTTCAAGATTCCTACCCTTGGCCTCGCTAAAGAACTTAATACGGGCTTACATTACTGATCGTCCTTATGCAGTCTTTACGTAAAGGCGTATCAGTGAATATGGCTCTGATTAGATCTACCACCTGCCATTTGTAAGTCCCGACATTAATCAAAATGCAAATGGGGGAAACGCAGAATGGTTTGAAGATGATGAAAACAAAAACATGAAACCAAACTCCTAATTCAGAAGTCATACACGTACCTCCGTCTTTGTGAAACCACATCTATGAAGTTCTCCGCTTTCCCAATCACTAGTAATGGATTTCAAAGGCAGGTCCAGTAATTCTGCAAAGTTGTTAATGTGGGTTTAGAAACCAGTTTTGGATTTCCACTTTGGGAAGAACAGACTAGTGGTATCACATGGTAAAGTAAAGTTGAAGAGACTTTGCCTGCAAGCTTGCGGATCTTGCGTAAAGAGGGTATGAGATCATCAACTGAATCTTTGGGGGAGTAGTCTTCTTCTTCAGGCTTCTTATTCTCGAAGACGACCGCAGAAACCAGGGAATCCAGCAAAGGAGACACCCCTTCCAGCATTAGCTGGATTAGTCTTTGGAGCTGAGGCAATGTATTATTATTATTCCCCCCACACACGTTTGGATGGTGTTACTAAAATGCATATATACTATCTCAGAAAGGAAGCAAGAATCTCCCAGTTCATAACTGGTACAAAATGAAGGCCAGGCTTTTAGTTACCTCCAATGTTTCCTCGGCTGCCATATCATCTAGAAGGAGTATCTCCACAGTGATTCTGGAAAGAACCGACTCTAGGACCGCACACATGCTTTTCTTGTATGTTGAAGGTAGCAAGAGTGGCTCCCATATAATTCGTACCTTTTCAAGGACAAAGACCACCTGATCTATGCTGAACTTTGCAGATTCAAACTGTTGCATCTGATGAGAATTCTGAAAACCACCGGCTCCATCAATAGCCTGAGAACAAGAGTAAGCAGAGTTTGTTTGTGTGGATTAAAAAATTGGATGCGTGCACAAACTTCTGTCCAAAGCTCATATACCAATGACACTCCACTGAACTATATATAATTACCTCTTTCAAATTAAGAATGACAAGCTGAATTTGTCGCTGCAGTATCTCCTCGGCCATTACATAGTACCTTGGAGCCATGTCGACAAAAACTGCATGTTCTTTGATTGACGTTGGAAAGTCTGGTCGATACTGTGGCAAGACAATAATTCAATGGGATAAACTTGCTCTTAGTTCCCTAATACACCTCCCAGCTCTATAAATATAAACTTCAGCATCAATAAAAATCTTCAGTTTAAAACTGTATACTAGTGTCGAGTCAAACCATGCATACCTGAAATGCCAATCCGAGTATTTCTTGTGATAGATAAAGACAGTCATTGTGCATCAGAACAGCAACTTGGTTGAAGTTATCCAGCTTCCTCTCTAGCTTCATGAGTAAAGGTTCCAAGTTAGCATCATCGTCATCATTTAGAAACAAAAAAGTGGTGACATAAAGAGAACCATTTCCGGACAATGAAAGGATGACGATGAAATATTATTCTCCAGACAGCAACAGATAAGAAGATAGATCTCTATGACAAGTAATAACGGCTAACCTTGACAGGAACAACTGCTTCATACAGAAGTATTGCATCCCTAGCAGCACGATAAAATTCAGGTGCAACCTTTGGAGATGACAAGCAAACATCCTGAAACATGATTCGTCAAGGAAAGCAGAAAGTCAAGCTCTGACAAAAAAACTCCCAAAATGTAATAAAAGGAGCTCTCAATGATACAGTTCTTTCTTAGCAACGTACCTTGAGTGTCTGATGAACTAGAGCCATCAGCTGTGAAGCTGCTTTGGACACCAAACACCTCTCGGACATGAAAAGCAAATGAACAAGACGATCAATATGCTCTGCAGCTACTCCTGCTCCATTTGTTGATTGAGAACTCTTTCTCATAAACTCCTGATTAAGATTTAGGTATTAAAAGCTTATAACGTAGAGCTGGGAAAAGATATTACTGCCTTTCTCAGTTCTGGAGAACTTACTTGAGGAATGGAGAAGTCACAATGTAAGAGAAAATCTCTAGCCTTCGCCAATATTTCAGTCCTTTTTCGAGAAGCAAAATGAAGTTCGACATTTTCAGAAAAGTTGCTTAACTTTAGGTCTGACTGATCAAAAGCTGAAATGAACTTAAGTTCTTTTAAGGCATTTTCAAACTCTGAGGAGTTTTTCATGATTTTCTGAAAGCCAACCAGTTTTGAAGCATCATCAGGAACAGCCTGAAAGAAAGTTACAAAGAATTTGTTACTATTGCTGCGCAAAAAATACTGCACCAATAACCGAAGGCATGAATTTTGCATTTCCCGTCCAGATGGATACATATGATGGAAAACCTAAACTGCATTTTCCTGGAAGGAATTATCTTAAAAATAAGTCACTAGAATCAAATACTCTACTACCCAACCTTGAAAAATGGTAAACATCATGGAGAGAAGAGCTTCTGCAATTGTCCCAATAGTAAGCCTACTTAGTCTTAGATACAAGTGTTTGCAATAATGTCCTGAAGGAAATTTTGTGTGGAAAAAGAACCGCGGGAATAAACTACTAATCACTGTAATGGTGATGTAAGGAAAAGAGAAATCCGATAAAGGACCTGGAAGGGTGGAACCAACCTTTGAGAGGAAGTTAGAAATAATCAGCTCAGCTATCCTTGGCCATGTCAATCTTCCAAAACACTGAACCCAAGATTCCTTTTCTAGGCATATGAATTTTGAAATAAATTTCACAACCTGAAGAATGCTGGAATAAATTGTCTGACCATCAACATCTTCAGTCTGATTGCAGTAGGCAAAACCAAATGAAGCAATGATTAGACATTATCCAATATCACATCAAAAGGCAATGTATAAAAGCAAACTCCTAGTTCCAAATAAAAAAAGAAACGCTCAAACCTTAAGATCGGAGGATGGTATAATTTCCAATACTGCCTCATCTTTAACATCTCCTGCAAAAGATGTGGCTGTCCCACAGTTCATGGCAGGTGTGATAACAAACTTGAACATCTTATCAGCTACTTTAGCAAGGCCATAATCCAAAATTCCAAGCACCTACATGGCCATTAACACAACAACGAAGTCAGGAAGGAATTCTGGCAAAAATCAATGCTTCCCACGACGTATAACATAACGGCAAAACAAGTTTACAAGTTGGGGGAAATGGCAATCTCACGGGCATGCATATACAAGAATGTGACCATATAGATGCATCCAGAACATTGCTTTCGCATTCTGAATTAATGGCCACCTACAAGAAAGGTGGAATGTACAAGTTATATACTCACTTCCATTGCTAGTAAAACAGCTCTGAGTTCCACTCCTTCAAGTTCATCAACACTCAAACGAGACCGAACTCGAACTCTGCATGGTTCTAGCTCCAGCTGCACTGCTTTCTCCATCAACTTGACAAGCATGCCTTGCATCTACAAACCCAAATGCAATTTCATCTAAGAAAACACAATAACACGCGACTGAATAAAAAATCGAACAGGCAAAAACAATCAACAAACAGCAATCATCTCACTCCCAGACATTGACACAAAGCTCTCACCTCCTCAAAGCAGGACAGCCAGTCCTTCCTCAGCAAACCATAGACCAAAGGATCACCTGCTTCCTCGTCGCCGATCCTCAGCACATCCTTCAGCACCTTCACTTCCTCGGCAGCCATTAGCAGCCGCCCATGCTTCATTCCCTCCTTCACTCCTTTCAACTTGTCGCTAATCTCCACAATTGCATTCACTAATTGAAGCAATTCCTTCTTCACCTTCGCCTCTCTCAGCTTCCGCTTCAGCTCTTCCAGAATCTCCCTGATTTCGACGTCCACGGGAGTGTCCGACAAGAGAGTCGAGAGATCGGAAACTTTCCGGTCGATTTCAACGGTCCGAGACGCGGCATCGCTGCAGAGCTGGAAGAGAGAGGAGAACTCGCCGTGGTGAGCGAGGAGGTAGGATTGCACTTTGGATTTGATCTGAAGCGAGTGAGACTCGAGACGAGTTATGAGGAGGCGTAGATCAGGCGCGGAGAGTGGGCAGGTTTGGTCCGCGAGGTCGCCGGCAGAGAGGAGATCTCGGACGTTGATTGAGTCGAACAGGGCATCCATTGCAGAGAATTGAGACGATAAGTTCTTTGCCGACGGTTGGAAACGGCGGTCGGAGAAATATGTGAAGCAGGGTTGGAAACGAGTTGGGTGAGTTTCCTTTCCCGGAGAAGGAAAAAAGCAGAGAGTACGGAAACGGGGTCAAGCCGTCAAAGGCCAAGGGGTGGCCATTCGGTCTAAACCGAACCGAAGGAGACGGATTCTTGCTCCCAATTTCGAACCGAATACGGAAACGGTGCTGCCCTTTTGAAAACCGAAATCAGTTCGGTTTGAAATGGTTTTCCCGAACAGACCGAATTGGTGAAGGCTGGTCAGGACTTTAGTGTGGGCTGGCCTGGTGGGCTGGAACCACAATTGTGGGCGACTGGTGGGCTAGATGAATTGATTTTGACACTAATTTCTTTGGGCTCTTGAGATTATGTAAATAATAAAAAAATGTAAATTAACATAGTCATAATTTCTGAATTTTAAGCAATTCATAAAAAAAATGCAAACAATAAGTTGACAACCATTAAGCATAAATCCAAGCAAAAATCATTGTCTAAATAACAAAACATTCATTGTCCAACCTTCAAATTCAATTACATCAATAACCAAACACACTGCAGTCTAAAATATAAAACATACACAAAGCATCATTAGCAGCCATATTCCAAACTTCAAACTCCATTCAATGCAAGGTAAACCGCACTAAAGCATGAATTGTTTCTTCTTTTTTTTTTTACAGTAGGACACATGCTTTTCATTACTTGTGGCAAAAGCCAAAGGGTTACAGTAGGGGAGCACCAACATCTAATATATTAATCCATTCCGGGGGCAATTGATTCTCAGCACAGGATCTTGCCACCCAGTTAGCTTTTGAGTTGAGCTTCCGACTGAAATACTCATAGCGGATCCAAGGTCGCGAATCCCCGATCTGTTTGATCCTTCCAATCCAAGCTGCTGCCCTCCATGGCCAGTCAGTAGAAGGACCTTTGGTAGCTTTAATTAGCTGAAGACAGTCAGATCGGACGAGGCATGACCCTCCAAAAGTATCCGCTAATCGAGTTCCCTCAAAAAGGGTCTTAGCTTCTGCCTTGTTTCTTCTTTGAAATGGCGATGTACTATGCTTTTGTTGTAAACTTGGCAATGATTTCTTGCTTTGAACCCTGCCAACTCACAACACTATGATTCAAGCAAAACAAGTAACATAATTGGGATTGATAACCATTCTAGTCAGTTTAGAAGCTAGCATTGGAGTATCTCTTCACCACTAGTTCGTCTTCCACTTTGAATACCAGAAATACATTCATAGACTGTTTAAGGCACTTTAGGATGCATTTAAGAATAGTCCAATGAGTCTCTCCAAGGTTAGAGTAATGTAGATAGTCTAACTTACACCAATTAACCGCCTTGATCTTTCTCTATATATTTTATCCTAAGGATATATGTTGTCTCACCAAGATCTTCCATGGAAAAACATTTCCCTAGCCAAACCTTGGTTGCCTCTACCATGGGAATGTCTTTTCCAATGAACATATGCATTTACACATAGAATAAGGAAAACATCATTTCTCGCAACAACCTTCTTGTCAACACAAGGGTATCTCATTTTTTACAAAGACAAAGTCTTTGACAGCTTCATCAAAACTATAATATCAACTCGTGGTATGCGAAAATGGCCAAAAGAACTCTCACGGATTTGACCATGGCCACTGGTGAGACGGTTCGTCATAGTCAATCTCTTAGATTTGTCTATAACCATAAACCGTTTACCAACAATCTTCTTTAAACGTAACCACTTTACCATTCATGCCAGTCTTCTTTTTAAATAACCACTTTACCTTATGGATTTTATCCCAAGAGGTGGTATCAACTAGAAAAAAAACTTTCTGTTTTTCGCTTCTTCTCCACCTAGGTAGCCGCCGGCACCCTTAGGTGACCGGCGGCATCCCTGTTCTCATTCTCATCTCTTTCTTTAAGCTTTCTGCGTTTCTCCAGCCATTGATGGCATTTCCAGGCCGTTATGGCTCTCTCCTAAGTGGTTTCATCCACATTCCTCTCCTATGGAGATGGATCTTGTTTGTTTTGCGGATCTAGTTTCTCTGTGCTGGTCTGGCGTTGCTCTGCTTTTGGATCCGGATTTTGCAACTTGGGAAGCCTATGATGAAGATCCGAAGTTAGGGTTGCCTTCCCTTGTTGGTGGGTTCTTCTCCTTAGATGAACACATTCACTGTTGTTCCCTCAGTCGTCTTTCGGTGAGCAACTCTGCCTCCTCTCTGCTCGTCTGTTGTGGGCTTCGAGGTCACTTTCGTTGTGTCGTTGGCGGCTGTTCTGAGTTTCTTTGGAGACCTTGATGTTGTTTATTCGTGTCTCAGTCAATCGTGCCTCCGGATTCCTTGACCATTTTCATCTCTAAACATCTCGGTTTCAGCTCTGCCCACCGTCGAGCAATCTCAATCTTGTGATTCACTGTGATGGGTCATCTTTGAATGATCACCAGGTGGCGGCTTATGGTGTTGCTCATTCAATCGCCATGGTCTTGTCTATTTCGGGAGAGTTGAAACCATGCTTTGTTGCTGCTTTGTTGGTAGTGGAAGCAAGAGATGTTTGATGTCACTCTGTCTTGGCTCCTGTGATGGTCTCTTTTGCTGGTTTGTTCAATCGTTCTTGTGGCTCTCTTTCGGTTGGGATTGTGCTTCCGTTCATTTGAGTTCCATTATTGTTTGTTCCATTTCTCTTGGTGTAATCAACCTCTTGTAACCGTTATTTTCAGAGTTCAATATAAGCAGATTCACCTTGTAAAAAAAAAGACTCTCACGTAATCCATCTCATGATCATAGTTGCTAACGGGTCACTTCTTTGACTTCTCCAAAAGTATGTACCTCTTCATTGTCCTTGGACTTCTCCAAGATCTACATTACTCCCACTACTTTATGAGGAAATAAAGAATTGTCGCAATCGTTAAAGCCACTTAGCATTGTATCGAAGTAGGAGCACAAAATGTAGGTAACTTGGATAAGCTCAAATCAAGCGATTCTTACTTATTAAGAACACTGTGAGATGACATGGTGACTTCCTCGTATGTGGGCATCCATGTCTTATGTCTCACCTTTGGGTTGGTCCAGCACTTCGGTTAAACACCACATAACCCACATGAGTATGTGTCAAGCCACTCGATATGTTAGTTGTCTTCACATACTAGTCTTTATACATGTGTGTCAACCTATACCAACACCATACTTGACCAGTGACGTTTTAGAAAGTTAATTCTCGTGTTAGTGATATGTTATTCCATCCAAACGCAACACGAATTGATATATCAACCAATAAACAAATTTCGTCACTCTCCCGTTAGTTTCCGTCCAACTCCATTAACGGAGTTGGACGGAGGCCAACGGGGAGTGACTAAATGTGACATGTTTCAGTAATTCGAGTGATATTAATACATAAAAAATGTAATTCGAGTGACCGGAGTTGGATGGAGGCTAACGGGAGAGTGACTAAATGTGACCTGCTTCATTAATTCGAATGACCAAAATTGATATTAATTTTTTCTAGTGACTAAACATGATATGATTTAATAATTTCAATGACCTAATGTGGCATTTACCCTAAAAACAATCCAAAGCTTCATGCTTTTGCTTTTATAATTCTGGAAAGTGTTCATTGCATTGGCTTGTGATACATACATGAAACCCCCCATGAAGACAAATGGACAAGAAATTTTTGTCGCGGAGAAAAACCCTCATCTCCCCCATCGGAATTGAGATTGAGAGGGAGATGTCAAGAACAAAGTGACAACCCATAAAACACAGACAATTCTGCTGAATGCAACAATTGAAATAGGAACAAATGAGGAGACAAGAAAGCGACCTTTACCAACTAAACCCAAAAAACTACCCCCTCCTCCAAAATCAATATCACTGAACAAAGATAAGCACTGTTAATATGAGACTGATAAAGATGGCTATACATTAGCTACAAAGAGCAGAAGGCTGCAGCTGCTAAATTCCAATTCGCATACTCCCTTTTTGGCCTTCTGGTGTGGTTTTGGTGCCTGGCCTGCACCACTCCACCGTCCTCTTCCCATCACATTTACTAAGGCTTAAAACTAAAGGAGGGAATATAATGGGCATTTCTTGTCATTGAACTAACATATAGCCTTGGCTAGCTTGCTTTCTGCCCCTCTGTTTGGCTTCTTATAGCTAGTTCTATCCCCCTCCCCTGCTTTGGTTTTTGCCTTCCAATAACCACTCTGTTTTAACCCATTGGTTCAGGAAGCAATCTTCGTCCATTTTCTTCTTAAACATGTGGATGGGCTTTCTGGTTAACTCAGTTTTCAAGTTTAAAACAAAGGATTTCCGAACAAAAGGGGGAATCTTTCATTCACAAAACAGGGCAAGCAAAAGATTTTCACCGCATAGACTGGAGACTGACAGCCATAAACATGAACGGAGGTGGTTTAGGGCCGGGATAAAAGGCCTTTTGTTTCCGGGTGAGGCCTCTGATTGATTCATTGGGCGAAAGGAAGCATGAAAGCAGGCAAAGAGAGGGCCAGAAACTCTGAAGAATGAGTAGGAAATGAAACACGATAAAGAATAAAACACAAACCCAGAAAAAGCAGTCGCTCTCTAGACCTCTCTATATGTTTATATGGTGTCAGAACATGTGACCTGCGGCCACTAGCAAAGAGCAAAGCTACAGACACATAAACTACATATATATATATGTGTTGGAGACAAAGTGAACCCAAATGATCCTCGTGACCCCAAGTGCCCTGTACGTATATGTCACTGACTGCTGCTGCTGCTGCAACCTCTGAATCTATGGCCCCAGCAAGTTCCCACATCCCTTCCCATGCAACAGTACTTGTACTCGTTACTGCTTATGATTTTGTCCTTTTGGGTATCAATTTTTTCAAATATTGGTACCTACTTCTTTTGAAAAAAACATGCAATTGGATAAATTGGTCTGTCCAATGCATGCCCATTCCTCATTCCCTTGGCTTGTAATTGGTACCATTCCCCTGTTTCCCACCCACATCATGGGCTGGTCCTTTTACGTCCCACAATCATATCAATCAGTTGATAATTGGAGATTTTTCTTGCTTGGCAGCATTTACCCATATGGAATCTTTGGCAGAAGCAAGATTATCAGCAAAAGAGAGCATTTTTAAATTTAGGTGACAGTGTTACACTCTGTGATTGGATTTGGGATAGGGGCAGAGGCCCCTCAACCTATGCTTAGTGCATAATGCAGCGGCATTTTTGTCAAATCAAATTTCTTTGTGTTTATGAAAGTGTCATCATTTGCGTTGAACAATATTTAGCGCATGCACCATTCGTATCACAATCGAACCATTTTCAACATGCTCTATCCGAAACTCGACTTGGTATTGATTGGTCAAATAAATCGAGTTGAGGAAACCATGCCACTAAGAAGTTGGTGAAAGTGAACAATTCACTACTATTGGCGGCAGGGCTAGGCTGAATCTATAGGCTTTATCACTACTGATCATTTTCTTGTTCATTTGTAATTGGCCCTCAAGTTTTGGCATGAAGTGCTGACTGTCATGCACGACACTTTTTCCCATATTCCCAATTCTTCATGTGAGACAACAAGATATTGTAGTAGTAGCAGCTTCCCTACATCTTAGATCCCAATACACTATTAGGAAATTCAATTATCCCCACCTTTCCAATATATCTCACTCCCAAGTCCCATGCTATAAAAAGCCAAATCCAAGAAACCAGTTGTCTCCCAGCATTCATTTACAACTTTTTTTCTAAACAGAACCCAGAAAGAAGAAGAAGAAGAAGAAGAAGAAGAAGAAGAAGAAAACAGGGGAAGATGGGTTGCAGGATGCAGAGGAGGCTTGCATTGCGAAGAAAGCTTCACATTCTTAGAATGACCACTCATTCCCAATCTGTAAACGCCTAATCCACCTTTTATCTCCATTTCTACGCTTTAGCAAAGGAACCAGTTAAGACTCGTAACTGGATCTCTTATGTTTTTTCTGCTGTGAAGGTGAAACAGAGCTCAGCCTTCATGGGTGCTTTTATCTACCTCCACCAGCTCAAGCTAAAGTTGGAGGCAATGAAGACAGAGCTTTCTGAGTTAGCTGAAATCAGGAGGGAGTACTTAAACCGCATAAACAAACTCCAGTTGCCTAAGGTGATGAGTATATACCAGTCCCCTTCTTTTACATTCAACAGTTTTGGAACCACGCGTTGATGAAATTTGTGAACTTTCAGAGGGAAGTGAAGGTGGAGAAGGGTGAGAAAGGGTTTCAAGTGAAGGTGACTTGCGAGAAGGGGAAAGACAAGCTGGTTTCAGTGCTGGAGGCTTTTGAAGAAATGGGTCTCAGTGTTCTGCACGGCAAAGTTTCGTGCACCCCTAATTTTGTAATGGAAGCCATTGTCGATGATGTAGGTAGTGGTCAAGGAAATGAAACAGCTGATGTGGAAAAGATCACTCAAGCTCTTGTTAGGGCGATTCACGGACTAAAAACAGAGGGAAAAGGCACAAGAGATGCATAGCAGGGTTAGGCAGAGCTCTTGTTAGGATGCCTCTTTCAGTTTTGTAATTTGCTTTGGTCAAAGGTATGGAATCTGAATGGATTGGTGCCAGGCCATTGTTCGTTTTCGGTTATTTGAGGCTTACTTTTAGTTTCTGGGTTAAGATTCTGATATGGAAGTTTGAGGTGGGGAGAAAGACAAGGTTAAGGGCCATTTTGAAACCACATTATGAAGGAAGATGTCACCCAAATGTAATTAAGGATCAGGATTGGATTAGTGACTGAATCCTGATGCCCCAAATTGAGACGACTTATAAGGTTCCATGTCCAGAGTTGCCTGCTCTGGTCAGGGTTATAGAGTTGGTTGTCAAATCCTTGCTTGCTATAGAGGTTGAATTATTGGTGTGTGGGATATGAGGGTTGATGAGAACCCATGTACTATGAGTAATTACTAGTGACTAGTGAGTGTTGGTTACGGCATCAAAAGAGTTGAGTTTTGATTTAGCTCGGCTCATTGATAAGCTTACAAGTTCCATTCGAACTCACTTCATTTATGATTCTATTGAACCTCTAACATCAACTTTAAAATAATTTATTATCAGAAACCATAATACTTGTATACCATATATAATAGATGTGATTAATGTAGTAATAATAAAAGGAATTATAGTAATTTTTTCATAACTAATTGATTTCTAACCAGTTAATATTTTTTATCTTATGATTTGACTTGTTATTGCTCACATGTTTGTTGGTTTATATATTTCACAACATATGATTGTTTAAGACTTTGAGTACATGATCAAATATATATCATTTTAATTTGAAAGGAAAATGATTTTTATAGATAGTTTAATTTAGATACTAATTACTGTTAAATAACATGATGTGAACTGGTTAGAATTCATGAACTAAATATGATACCAACTAAACCATCGAGTCAAGCTAACTCGCGAACCTCACATGCTGAACAAGTCTTAACTCAAACTTGACGCTAATAAATGAACCAAATTTCGAATGAGCTTTTCTCGAATCGAACGTCAAGCTCCTCATAAGTATTTTAGCTCATTTGCAATCTAGCTTCCATCTAGGGGTGGAAATCGGTACGGTATCGGTATCCCAATACCAAATACCGAAATCCCGAATACCGAATTATACCCTAGAATCAATCCCAATCCCTAAATAATTTCGGTATCTCAATCTCAATCCCTAAATATTTTGGTATCCCAATCGGTACTTCGGTATCTCAATCGGTATTATCGAATACGAAATTAATTACCTTTACAATTAATAATTAAATATATAAATTAGATTTGATTGTTTAATATAGGTCAAAAAGACTAAACAAAGAGTTTTGAGTTTGGCTAGAGCTAGGATATGGGTAAGGAGAATGGAGTAGAGGTGAAATCTCAAGTTTTTGTCATTGGTAATCTTTAATTTGACGAATTGGAGGCTGAGAGAAGACTAATACTAGTGTTTGCTTTTTGGTGTTATGAAAATAACAATATATTGGTGGTTGATGGTAGTGTAGTAGTGAATGATAGAGTCTAGTTGAGAGGATAAAATATACACTAGCTTATATTTCGGTATTGTTCGGTATTTCGGTCTATATCGATCCCAATCCGTAATCCCCAATACCGAATAACAATTGAAATTGAATCTCAATCCCAAAAAATAATACGTATATTTGATTACACCAAATATAGACAAATTCGGTACGATACCAAACTTCCAGCCCTACTTCCATCTATCTATGACCACCTAAAATTTTACTTCCAACTTTTTGCTTTTCTAAAAGAGGTGAAAAGGTATGGGTATTAGTAGTTCCCTCTTTTTCTCCCTCCTGATGAACATAGTGGGGTCATTTGGATGCAGGTTTTGGGTGTGGGATTTGGGCACAATCCTACATAATGTGGGATTTTATTAAAATCACTCGTTTGGAAAGCAATTATATGATAAGAGATTTTAAATTTTAGAGATTTCAGAAACCCACAATTGTGGGATTATGAAATAGCTGATGGTGATCAGCTATTTTAAAATCCCACACAAATCCCACAAATTAAAAACCTAGGTTTTTAAACCAGTGATTTGAGCCAAAATCTCACAAATTAAAAACCTGGATCCAAATGACCCCAGTAAGTCGAAAAGGTTTGGAAATTACTACTGTTGTTGTGATTTGAAGACATTATATGTCTTCGATTTGAAAATAGATTATGTTCTCAGGTTAGATTAAGGTTAGACTATCTGGGAAAAAAAAATCCTCTGCTCTACCAGCTGAGCTATCCCGGCCATTTCCGACCCGTCGACTTCCTCACTTTACTAAATGGATTGGGTCTATGTCAATTAAAAAAAAGGTCAAAAAAACATTATATATCTTCTCCGCCCTCCGGTAATATGTATCTTCTATGTATAGTGAAATTGTTTTCTCCTATACTTGAATTAAGTAAATGTAGGTGCTGCAACAAGTCATAGATCATATTTGGTTCTTGAAAGAAAGGTAAATAGCAGCTGTTGCTGGTGGTGGGCATTAACAACTTTGCTAGCAGTGATTAAACTTAGAAGTTTGGTCAAATTGTTGCTACAGAAGCCAATCTTTGGCTGTTATGGAGCAAATCACAAGCTACTTGTGACTTGTGAGCCATTAGTAAACTGTAACAGCTCAGTTTTTCTGTGAACTGGACCTGCTTCTTTTTTTTCTTTTTTCTTTGACAAAGCTTATAAGAACTTCTGTAGGCTGCTCATATTACAAGACTTGAAATAATAGTGTATAAATGTAAATCACTTGGTTGGGTCGTGTTCTATGAGTTGCATAGTTTAAAACACGCACTCCACTCAAAAGAGATTGGGTTCTCAAAAGAAAATCATTGATCAACGTTAAATTTTATTATACGAGTAAATTAGGTCGAATTGGATGACTGGTTCGGTTGTGACTTGTGGTTGTTTCTGTTCATCCCTCCCTAAATGTATCGTACAACCCTCCTAGAGTGCAACTAATGAATGGTATTAAGTTCTCAATGGAAATTATTTTGTTTGATGCGGCCTTTTTTTAGTAGGTGGTTGGCAATGCATATTATAAAGCCCAAAATGATAATAATCCAGTTCCAAGTCCAATGCTGTCTGTGGCTGGGACAACAGAATAAAGCCCACCGCTGTTTTTTCTTTTTCTTCCTTTTTTGTGTGATGATTTTCTATTTTCTAACACTGACATTATATTTTCTGCTAAATTAAAATATAATTACACTTTCCTTTGTATAGGTGCTTCGACGTGCAAACTGCAAACAATCACTTGTCCTGAGGCTACAGCTGGATAAGGTTGTAACGACTATAAGAAGTCATGTGTTCCCACAATAAATACCCACCTTCTCTAATTAAACATTATAGGAATGACAATTAGCCAAAGGTTATCCAATAATTAATCTATTGTGCCCAAGACACTTGTAAGATATTACGTTTTTCTGACATATTATTCATTAATTGACAGAATTCCTTATCAAAAGTAAATATTAAAATTCATGCAAAGAAACCGATTAATTTCTAAGAAAATTAATTAAAAGTGCACTTCAATTTGCTCTTCACTGTAAGAAATTATGCAAACTTTCTTTTGAACTTCTTTGTGTTACATTAAGCATAAAAAGCATCATCTTCTCCACCCGGCTTCGTATTTAATTATACTCACCATCAATAGTCTTTTCCTTCTTCTTCTGATAGGGTAGTCTCAACGAGCCTTTGCTACCGTGTAGAATATTTTGGTGGGTGAAAGTGAAACCCTAGAACTTAGGTTCATTCTCATTCCTCTTTCGATTTTAATAGATAAAGTTTGGTCGCTTTATGACAATGTATCCCGCAAACTGACTTTTGGATAAATAACAAACCAAAAAAAAAAAAAGTTAAAGAGAAAGCATAAAACATATCGTAAAACGGAAAGATAATTTGCTATTAAAAAATGAGACGCCACTCCGCTTGCTCTAAACAACGTCGATCGGCGTAACTTTTTCCCCCCGACTTTCATGATCATGAGTTAGATCCTTGGAATGATCTTCAAGATCTCATGTTAGTTATAGACTTCTCATTCTGAACAAAACAAATATAGACGCTTTTGAGTTATCCACATCCAGGGATAACCAATTAGTATGCATATATTATGTATACAATGGCGATGACAAATTGACAATTCTGTGACTGGGTTAAGATTGTTGCAGTTGGTACGTTGTTTTCCATGCTATCTCATCAATCCTATAAACAAATGGGTAGCTAGCTAACTAGTTGACAAAACGAAAAGGAGGGTGAGGGGGGAAGAAGATAAATTAAAGAAGGAAAACTATATATATCCTTAACACGTACTGACCAGAGAGAAACCGAAGGAGTAATGATTATTTAATAAGTCAATGAGCGTGGGGAATTTGACTTGTTGAAATCCCCGGACTAATCGGGGCCGCCGTCGTGGACGTTATGGCCAGGCTCGCCGAGAATTAAAAAAGAGGGGGAAAAAACATTTCCGGCGAAGGCGCTGCCGCGCCGTGCAGTGGCGTAGCGCAGGCGCAGCCTTCATCTCATCTTTGTTCGATCGATTGATTAGCTAGCACGTTGCGATGGATGGATGGATGGATGGATGAAGATCTCATTTAATGATGTTATTACAGCACGTGAATTACATTCCATTGGCTGTTCCTTAGCCTAGTTGTGAACTGACTGACTGACTGGCTTAGGATATACTATATCCATTCCACTCCACTACCCTTTTAATGCTATTGCTACCAAGCAGGCCCCCATCCCCACTTTGAATATCACCTTTTATTCCCTTTCTCTCACAATTATATTGCATCAAGAAGACGAGGTAATTTTAATTTTATTTAGGTGTAGAAAATGTTTGAAAACTCATTCTATAAAAACGGGTGCAATCTCTTCTTTTTTCACTTTTATACAAAATATTCAGGGTTTTGGTTTCAAATTAATTCACTCGCTTATTAGCGAGTTGGTAGAATTGTGACCCGCTATTCAGCCACATTCTTCTGCGGGTTGAGTTGGGTGGATGACGGATGGGTGCCGCTGGGTTGCGAGTTAACCTGCAAAAGTGTAAAATCTAAGAACGGAACGATAGAGAATCGACACAGGACACCCGATATACGTGGTTTCCCCGTTCAATATGAACGAGACTACTCCACGGAGAACGTGAGTTCTCAGGACTGTTATTAGCTGCTGTCTCTTCTGCTTAGTTACACCAGCCGAAATCCCTCCCTAATATACTCGACATGAGCTATTAGGTTTAGGGTGGCAAACTACTAAAAGGTCCTTCTAGAATAATAATAATACATATACATTCACACGTCTCTACACTCCCCCTCAAGCTGGAGCGTGAAGGTCGCGAACACCCAGCTTGGATAGTAACGTGTGAAACTGTTCAGCGCCCAATGCTTTCGTGAATATGTCAGCTTGCTGCGCCAATGTGCCAATCTTCTTCGGCTCAATCTCCTTGGACATAACACGTTCTCGAACAAAATAGCAGTCC